GGGCTACTCAAATATTTTACGTTTTTGATACTAAATTAACTTCTGAAGTATAATTTTTTATTGTTTTTATATTTTTCAATATATTTATTTTGTTTAGAAAATAAAATAAATAATTTTTAACTATACAATAGTCTTCGTTAGGCTTAACATCGACGAAAATTCAATGTAAAGCGACACGCAATGGAGAAAAATTTCAACATGGGATAAATTAATATATTTTTCAGCACATAATCGGTTATCCGAAATATCGATTTTCCGAACAACCTCAGTCCCCAATTGATTCGAATAAACGACGCTCTATTGTATTTGGTAAAGTCGTTCCGTATATCAAAGCTGATATGCAGAACAGTATGAAAGTATGGGGAAAAGACAAAGCCTTATAGTACCTCCAGCATTCTTTTACTTAGTCGTCATGCATTTTTTTCATGCCTGGCCAAAGCATTAAATTTGTTCTATTAGTCGTGTATTTAATATGTAAAGACAGAATAATTTTTTATCTACAATTATTACTACATACTTGATTTGCTAATACATTTAATTAATGATGCAATTTCTGATCTTAATAAATTAATTAATAATGAAACACTTCATGTTGTTTGTTTGTCAAGTTATGACAATGCATCACTTGGGCAATCTGTTTTTGGATACTTTACATGAAGTGTTCATGAAGAAAACTAACTCCTGTTCAGACGTTAAGGACATGGAGAAAATGAGGAAAACTCCAAGTGGTCAATCCGTCTTGATGAGGTGCGAAACCATGACCAAACTCCCAGTATTCAGTGAACGGAACTGCTTGGCCGACATTTCTTGTACAGTGCATTCTTACCATGGGCTATGAAAATTATTTTCCTTGATGTTGTTGGCATTAAACTTATGTTACATCTATAAATATTTTTTGCTATAATGTTATAGGCAAGTAATACGTATAACTTTTGTTAATTTATTATCCCTGAAAATAACTGGTAAATCCAGTTTTAAAAAATAAACCTTAGCAAAAACATCTAAATAAAGAAAACTCTTGAAATAAGAATACTGGAAGCAGATTCGACAGTAAAACTCACATGTGAAGAAAGTTCATACATCACAGACTAAAACTACAAGATGTTTTGGATGAAGCAATGTACTGTACCCTGATAATGAATCAGTAAAGCAAGCATCGTCAAGAGAGCGTATCGAACTTTTACCGGTTTAGAATTACGTTAAATAATTTAATAGTGTACATACATATTTAGAGCAAATAATTCGGTATTGAATTATATAGTGTCACTTCCTTAGTATCATATATTTTAAATAATATTTATAATGATAAATGTGAGACTTGAAAGGCCCTGGATCTAATTTAATAATTTTTATTAATAATGTTAAAATATCGGCACAAAATATTACTTCATTTTTGTGAAAAACTAGCGGTTTGGACGTGGGAAAAAATAGATAACAGATGTTACTTCCTTAAAGGGAAGTCCATACATCCTCTGTTTTTCCCTTATCCGTTAAAAATCTCACTCAAATGGGAACTATCTACCCCTCTTTGATTCCCTTTTTCATCCGTTCACATGAACGAATTTCAAGCAGATGATTGGTCGAAAATCTTGAGATATAAGGGAAATCAGTCCGAATTCGAGGAGTTCAGCGACAGATCTGGAAGCGTCCAAACACCACACAGTTTTCCTCCTGATGACCAACGCCCTTAGACGAGTCACTTAGAATAAGTCTAGAGTCTGCACGCAGAAATTATACTTTGATTTTGTGCACATAGTGATCTCCCATACGAAGAAGTAAATGAACTTGCATACAGAGAAGAAGACGAACGACAACTANTTTGAAGAAAGTTATAATTAATAATAAACGATATTTCTTTTTTACATTTCAAGTTATTTTAAAAGTGTTATCGGCCAGCTTATTATTTGTAGTTGTCATTTCATCGTGCAGATACGATTTTTATACAAGTAGAAAACTATTCTTCGTATGTTAAAGTACTTTAGTAATAATTATATTTTATCAGTGATCATATTTTGTAATTTCTACGGAAGGAAGTGTAAAGACTACAACAGAAACTCATTCTGGGAACACTTTTGTTTTTTCTGTACAATTTTTATCAATATAATCTATACTAATATTATAAAGAGGTAATGTTTGTATGTAAGTTGGGATGTAGTGGGTAATCTCCAAAACTACTCATCCGATTTCAAAAATTCTTTCACTAATATTTAGAATGGAACTTCAGGGTGGACATAGGATGTATATTATTCCGGTAAACATTCATATAAATTAAAAGATATAATCTAGGTTAAGGCTTTTATGTCCAACAGATGGCGCTACAAGTATGACATCCTAAGTTTGCTTTTCTGTCAGGCATCATGCTTTTCTATGAAAATGAACTAAAGCATCTCATCTTCTATCTATCTATATAAATAAAAATGTAATGTTCGTTTGTTCCTACAGATTCCTTTGAAATTTTGACACAACGCTGCATTCGAATACGCACATGTTTTTGTATAATATACATGTTGAAATTCAACCCCACTGAAGGGAGATGGTTAGGATTAAGGCTTACCGTAAAGAACTCTGCTTCTGTTTATACTATTTCAGATTTCAGATGCAGGTGATTGCGTTTTTGATTGCGTTTTAATAGGGTACGTCAACAGAATGTACACTAAGAAGAAATTTTTTGAAAAATTCCCCCAGGGGGAAGTGTTATACATTTATAATAGATACATTTTGAGCCACAACAACGCGTGGCGGGGTCTGCTAGTTATCAATATAATTATGTTTAATGATAGCAATAACAATAGATATATTCACCTTCGAAGAGTCTAAAAACTCTCAACAAAGTAAAAAAATAGTGAAATTTCAAAATTTTCTTCCTTGGCTAACTGTTGTGAAGTAGTCGCTGGACTACGGCTCAACTACGGATGACGCATATCCGGAATCTGGCAAGAAGTGGCAAAACTGGCTGTATGAGGTAACCTTATATTTTAGAACCTTCGGCTGGAAGGGCTATTGTTCAAGTAGGAGGTCACGCTGAATCCAAGACCGTTTTCCGAATAATGGGAGTTCATGCCAGGATAATTAAACTAAAACTTTAATATTAAAGATAAAGCAGAAATACAAGCGTAAGATACAATTATAGATATAAGTTCCTAAGCTAGAGGTCAATGACCTAGACTATATGCGAACGCCAGCGAAACCGAGAAAGAGAGTTTATATTCATCGGGAACATTATCGTACCTCCTTAAGAGTACTGTCTGTCGTTCGACTGTGAATTATCCGTGGAGGACTGGAGAAGTAACTTTGCACAGAGCACTAAAAAATATCAATGTAATCCTTTGGGGCTATGATTATGCACGAACAGAGACTATCATGGCTTCTAAAGATGTCTGCCCCGACTAATGGGTGCCTGGAGGTTATATCCCTATCCGGTATGATAATTCAGTCAAGTGATCGTTTGTTTGCAACGATGACACATGTCAAAGGTGTCATTGCTGGACGATTAAAGTTAAACAAAATTGACTTAAAGGTATTTTATTTCCTCGAATTGTGTTTAGATTTTTATTGTAGTCTTAGTTAAGTGTCATCTTTCTCACATTTTAACAGTTGGTTTTTTTTAACATATTTTCGATATTTTCGCGGGTCGATGCGAGAGAAAAACTCAGTTAAGTCAACACTCGACATTACTCCGCTTTTAACTATTCGAAAAGAGATAAGAATAAAGATGAGTTTCTAAAAAGCTCCTTTCCATTAAAAATTATAGAAAAATAGCCCCTGGATTTCACAAATAACTCTTACAAATTAGAGTAAAATTTAATCTACAGTTATGTACCCAGTATATTGTATATTCAAGAAAAATAAATGTTATATGACCTTGATTTATGGCATACATGTATTCGAAACATTTATAAGGTTTTACATTGTTCTAAACAAGTATAGTCATGCTTTGTAAGAGGAAAACACTCTAGCTAAATAATTAAAAATAATGCAGCAACATGCTCAGATTTGAAATATAAAGCGATGTCTGCCACATTCAGAACAGGCAGTTGAAGACACACAGGAAACTACACAGGAACTAATAGGACTTAAGCGCTGGACTCCCAAAGTGACATAACCCACAAAAATTAAATTATTATCATAAAGTTTTAATACTTTTTCTTTACTAATGAGCCCTTATTCTATATTAAAATCAGTTAATAGGTTAGGTTTGATTAGGTTTGGTAAAAATGGTAAAAATGTTAACAATAAGTCTCCCATTAGATTTCAATAAGCCCTAGATCTTGGAAAACCAATATCTGTTCCCGAGAACACGTATAAATTATTTAAATTATTTGTAGTAACCTGCATTCAGCTATTTTCAATAATGTAGCATAGGTTTTTGTAATTTTCAAATGAATGCTCTTCTATAAAGTGTACAGTAAGTGCAGCAAATTCAATATGTTAATATTTAATTTTATGATTTCTGAAATGCTTATACAGTAATAACATTTTAATGTTNTCACTTAATTGAGCTCTCTGCTTTATTCTTTGACATTAGAAAAGTTAATGGAAGAAAAACATAAATTATTAGCCTGCAATCTGGAAAACCAGAAATTGCACTTATGCAAGCAAGCATAAATTTTCATACTTCTGTGTTCCAGGAATGAATTCAATAGTTGTATTTTTCATAATTGCGTAATGAGTGTAAAATATTTAAAACATACGTCTTGACAGAGTAAAAAGTAGAAACACAGATTATGGAAATATGTGAATTTCTAACATGCAAAACGATGTATAAACGTTATGCGAATAAATTAAAGAAAAAGCGTAATATTTAGTGCTTAGAAAATAAATTTATGTAGAATTATCTTTCAATGTTAGTTATATGTGTATTGTTTAATTTCATGTTTTTATATAATTATATGCTTATATTTAAATTGTAATATAATATTTGTAGATCAGAAGCTGCTAGTTTGGGAGACAAAAGATTGAACTTATTAAATGAGATGATTACTGCTATGAGATTAATTAAAATGTACACTTGGGAATTGGCATATACCAAATTAATAGAAAAAATCAGAATGTAAGTGCAATGAAATAAAGTAAACACCTGTGTAAACTGATAAAACTTTATAAAACAAAAACCTGTAAGCAATAAGATTTTCAGACAACCATATTTCTATGTATTCATAAAAACATGTTCGAAACTTAAACCTGCGAAATTAACACAAAATATATTCAAAATTTGACTGGCCAGTTTACACTGGTTTTACTCTGTATTCTAAAACTAATTTGTTTTTCATTGAACAAATACATTGAATCTCTACAGTTTGTATTAATGAACTATTTTTATCTTTGCAGAAAAGAAATGAAAAAAGTTGAATTGTTTTTGTATACAAGAGGAATATCAGTAATACTTGCATATCCTGTATCGAAATTATTTATTTCATTGACATTTCTTGCATTCTTTTTGAATGGAGGACAATTAAATGCTGAAATTGTGTTTGTCACTATGAGTTTTTCAGTGTTTATATTTACCAGCACTTTTAATTTATTTTCTCAAGCAATGAATTTAGTTGCAGAAATTTTGGTTTCATTGAAGCGAATTCAGGTAATAAACTGTTTTAAACACTAAAGAAATGAACGATAGTTTGCGAAAATTATTAATATAAGAGTTATATTTTGATGTTTTATTACTAGAATATTAATTTAAAAGTATTTAAGTATGTTAATATCTAATTTAAAAATTATAATTTTTATTATATTATATAATTATCGAAATATTAAAATTAGGAAAGTGCATTTCTTTCAAGAATTTTTATGTTTTAATACTTTAATTCTGAATGTTAAAATAAAAGAAAATGTTATTTTATGCAGTCTAGCCTATAGCTTCTTTATAACTATTGTATTATTGTATAAATTGTACAACTGTACTATAAGTTTATGTAAATACAAGATATACAAAAAGAATATTTATCTATATGTTTATATTCAATATATATTAACACACATATTATTGTATGTGTTAATATATGTATGTATGTAATAAGTAAGGATAATTAATTTAATATGTAGATAGCGTTAACAATAACGCTATGATTATGTACTGCATAACGTTAAAATGTGTTAACTTTGTACATAAATGAGATATTTGTAAATATAACATATAATCTTTCTCTAATTTTTTCAATTATGAACTTAGTCGTTCAAAGCTATATTAATAATTGCCATATAAAGTACTTTTTAATGAAAAATTACAATACATTATTATCATTAAGCTATTTATCTCATAAAATTAATAAATTTAAAAAGCATAATTCGACTGTTTTCTTTAAAATACACGCAAAGAAAGTCAGTTATTCCAAGTGGAATCCATCCATTTAAATAACTTCGACATTGAAATGCATTCAAGAAAATTACAAGAAAGACCGAAATCACCTTTATTTAAAATCAGAATTTAAAAAACTAATATCAAAAGCATATTCTTTTAGATCGAAATTTATTTCCAACTTTAGATGAAAACATATTTTTTTTCTACTTGACTTTTTGACTACGAACATCGAGGAAGAAGCTATTAAACGAATAAAACCAGAAAGATATAGCCCCCAACCTGCTTGTCTTACTTCGTAGTAAAGTTCCTCGGGGAGTTTTGATACTTATCTCACAACACGTTTTGGAATATATGCTTCTACTCACTGCATCATATGTAGTGAAATAGTGACGATGGTATAGTAAATTGAAATTATGTTGAATAGCAAAAACTGAAACTACCAGTATTCAGTGATTTTATAACTGAAGATTGGTAGTTGATTTTGAGTTTACTCTTCATCAAAGTCTGTCCACATGAAGCTTTCTGGATTTTATTCATTATTGTAACAGTGCAATAAGGGCTAGTTTTTCATAAAAAATCCTCCAAGTAGGACACCCCTATCAGTAAATTTGACAAGCATCACGTTTCTATATACGAACTCAATTTAAATAAAAACAGAGACGGCATTTAAACGTGAAAAACGTTTTATCCTTAATAACGCAAATTGAGATTCCAGTTGCAGACACTATCGCTCTCTCCTAGGATGGTCATCACATATCATTAAAAACTAAAAACGAGTTGAAAAGTTTCCAGGAATTAGAATCTGTCTTTTGTTAGTTTTTGCTGGAATTACCTTAAGATAGAATTGAATATATTAGATGTTCAAAAATTGTCGAGATTTTTATCAATTTTTGGAAACCGTGTTTAATAGTAGTAAATAATATAATTAGTGGCATACAAAAGAGAATAAGTGAGGTCAAAATTCTTGTTTAAAAAGTTTCTTAATAGTTGTATTAATTTATAACAGGTGTACTAAATTTTTGCAGAAGTCTGATTAAAATAGATTTTATAAATACAGTAGAGCGTAGATTATCCGAAACGTAAGTTATCCAAAAAGTAAATTATCCGAAAGAATTCCAGTCGGTAAATTTAAATTTTCGCCAGTGCTGTGGCTATGCAATCTTTGGCTATGTCTTGGGCTANTATTTTCATTTATGAAAAGTTTTATTTATATCAAAAAGAAAATTACTAAGTTATTTTTCATTGTAACCCACATTTTATACATTTTTCTGTTAAAATATAAACATTTTACAACTATAAAATAATAAATTTAAGTTCGATATTGGAGTATATTGTTTGATATATCTTAGTAGGAATCGGTCAAAAAGAAAAAAATCATTTATTTTAACTTCAAACAAAGGTTAAAGGACGCGAATGTAATAGTAGTACATGCTTAAGGGAGCGCCGTTGTTACATACATCAATTTATAAAAATGGAGATGGAGCTCACTTGGACTACTAATGTAACTTGTAACGTCGGAAAAGTTACTTATAGTGAAACATTGCTGTCACGACATGCAATATTAAGTCATTTTTAAAACCTCATTACACGAAATGTTCAGTAAAATATTGAAAATATAGATATTGCTCTATAAATACATGAAATACAGCATTCAAAACGATTAAAAAGTAAAGAAATAATTATCTTCTAGTTTTATTTTTTTCAAATATGCAAATAAAATAAATTTTAGTAATAAAAAAATAGAGATTTAAGGCATTTACTACGCGTGATGCTCATGATAAAGAGAGAAAGTTGAAGTGATCAAAAGCAGAAAAATTTTGTTCATAAGAGAAAATGGATTTTGTGAGTGCTATCCGATAAGGTTTACTATTTGAAATAATGCTTATGCTAAAGAGTTTTTGTAATATATGAGGTTTAGACAAATCGCTTTGTATGTTATTAGAATAGTGCTTCTTTTTCTACATTCAAAAATTCTGTTATGATGCGAAACACTTTATGTTCCTGTAAAGATTGTGTGAAGCATGGAAACGATCCTTATTTTGCTTCAGATTGTCATTTTTAATACAAGCCAAATATATTATTATGCAGAAAACATGTACTGCACATTGTTATTCAACAATTTTTGAAAAACAAAAAATGAGTACTATATTTTTTAAATCAATATTTTACAAATTTTTATGAAAGTATATACGAATTTTAACAGAATAATAAAACTAAATATTATAATTTCATTTTACACTGTTTCTCTTAATGAATTTTACAGAAATCTTTAAAAGCTGAAATAGCATATAGCAGATTCTTAAACAGATAAGCCATAACTTTCAAGAACTCATCTAACACATTATGAATTTATTAATGACTGGCGGTAAATATAGCAAAAGGTAATCAAAAATGAGTCGAAAAGGTTTGTTTGATGAAGTGCAGTAGCTATTCGTAATTAGATGACAATGGTTGTGATTAAAGACAACGTCTATACATCAACTAATCCCATACGACATGGACACGATAGTTACTAGTTTTATTCAGAGAATGCATATTGAATTATAAATAGATGGAAGTTCATTGCACACTGTAGTAAGAGTTATGAGTGAGGAGGTCACGCCATAAAATGTCTAGTGGGAATACTGTTATAATGACGTATCTACTACAGTTTTCTTTTTAACGTTGACTAATCGTATTTAGATATTACTATTACTCAAAGCGTAATTACTCATTCTCCAAATGTATTGATTATTATAAACTCATCAATTTTTAAAATACCTTTATGCAGCTCCATAAAAGATACTTTTTAAAAATTAAATGTCATTTCAACTATCAAAACAAAATTAAATACGGGTAGAAAAGCCTCTTTTTATTACTTTTCCTAAATCTCTACCGCTCTACAATAATGAGGTGCTACATTAAATAAATATTGTAGTAACAGTATAAAATATTTCATTCGGTAAAATAATCAGAATGGAATTTTCAAAAGTTAAAGCTTCTTCTTCTTTTTTTTAATCTAAAACAGTCGGTGAACTTCAAATTAAATTGGGTTGTAATAAAGTTTGTTTTGTTACTCTAACAATTTAAAATGTTTTTCTCTTGACTTGACTTAATTCCGAGATCTTCGATTGCTTTAAATTGAAAATATGACATTTTTCTTTCATAAAGTAAAAACTAAGAGTTTATTACCTATTTTGTAGCTTAAAAAATTATATTTTTTTTTCTTTACTCGATGAATATAAATTTCACTGAATATAAATTTGTTTTGCATAAATGTTTAATAATATCTCTAAAGGAGTTACGCACGTTTCAACGTTTTAAATATAATATTTACTCGAATTTAAAATAATTTGTAATATATTTCGAAAATTGCTTTTATTCTATAATTGAATTTAAAATATATTCAATGATTAAATGTCCAATATATTTAACAAACTAATTCGAATTTGAAGTAATATAAGCATTTTATAATAAAAAAAATGATCGATTGCTAATAATTTTATTAATTAACATACAAATTGAATAAACATTGAAATTCAATATCAAAATGCCATACTTTATGTATGAAAACTATTTATGTATCTTTTTATTATATTAGATCTATCTAAAAATATCTAATATAGTAGAAATATCTTCAGATGAATAGTTAGTTTTTGCAAATGTGAATAATGAAATATATATTTATTTAATTTATAACATAAGATTTCTAATAAACCTTTAAGTTTTTGGAATATTTTGATATAAACAGACTTTGCGACAAATAACAACCATAAAAACTACAAGAGCAACAAATGACAAATATCACAAAAGTTGTGTATATCTCAAGGAATAAAGCGGATCTATAAAGCATTTAGGCAGGCCAGGAAGTGGATGATGTGATGTCAGAAACAATTGATTGCTCCAGCTGTTGGACAGATTGTAGGTGTCAACTTCGACAAGTGGCTACGATCTATTGTCTGCTAAGCTGATGTCCGACTGAACAAATCATTTGTCTTCCCAATACCGTGTCCATCAAAGAACAGATGGCCAATAGGTTACCATTGTTTCTTTTACTATCTCAGAATTTGCTATTTGTTTCTCATTTTAACGTATACAATTTAAAATACTTGCACATTTCCTCGAAGTAATCAGTAAAATATGTTACAATTTCAAACAGAAGTTCCAATATTTGAAAGATAGAAATGAAATTTTTCATCTTTAAGCTAAAATTAGTGTAATTTTCAATATTTCGGAATGTCTATATTATCATAACTACAGTATTCTAATAGGAAAATAATGGAACAAAATCTCAAATTCAATCACGCACTGACAAACATTGAATAAAATGTTTCCTGAAGTAGAGTGAAAACAGCTATTGAGCGTGCTACTACGCCTCTAAATGAACTGTTTAAGCACGAAAGCTATTTACGATTGATTTACAAATTGACAAAAATATTACGGTGTATAACTTTTTAGTAGAAATAAAAGAATATTTTCCAAAAGTAACGTTAATGTTTGTCAAAAAAACATCGAGATAAATTATAGATAAATATTTAAATGCTGAGTATACGTTCATTCCATTAATTTAAAAAAATGTCTGTCTTCTTCGATAAAAAAATATTTTATTTATTTTATTTTAAGTATGATTTTGAAGTTAAAAGGAATTTAAAATATTTATTTAAAAAAAGTATTGTTAAGTCTAGAAAGGCTAGGAAAAATTTTTAAGTGATGCTTAGCTTAGACATCCCTAATTTTTTTTTCTTTCTGTGCAATTCCATGCAATTGAATTCGTTCTATGAATACATCTGCATATTATTGAATATCAAATCATCGAAGGTTGTCATTGAAGAACTGACTAGGATGACTGATAAAGCCATGTATGAAGAAATTCGAGCAACTCCACCCGAAAACACTTCATATATTCTATACTGACTAGAATAAATAGCAGGACTTCTTCTTTTTAAAAATCTTTCCTGAATATTTCGTGACAAGAGTACATGATATATATTATCAGTCTGTGCGATCAACGATTGGATGTTTTCATCTGATCGAACGAAATTTTTCGTGCGATCATGTTCACTGTATAAATATTAACATTTATCTGTGCTTCCATAATACTAAAAAAATTGTTTTTGTTGTCCTATGTCTAGACATTAAAATAATGCAATGAGCATTCAATAAATGCGAAATATTTATCTCGTTAGCTGAATAAAAATATGTTTTATAGAATCTATTGATTCTGATTAAACTGCATTTATAGTGTGAGTCAATAGGTTATATTGATAAGTACGATATCAAGAAAAAAGATCTAGAACTTTATAGGATATCATAATAAGTAGTTTAAACTTCCAGATTTATTGGATCCTAAAGAATATCGATTATAAAACTACTTTGTTAATGCAAATTTATTTTATCTGCTGAATTATTTGTAAAATATAGCAAATATTTGATTATTTAATAAATGAAATGTATAAAATTTACGAAAATAAATTCAAAATTTTCAAGTTTTTAAATATTCAGGATAAAATTCCATTAGAAAATACAATAAAATTCTAGAAGAAACCAATACAAAACATTTTTGTATTGTTTCAGTACAGTTAAATTACAACATGCATTATTTTATTTGGGGAGATGATTTGGCTGACAGTTCAATGTAGGAAAAGTCATTCCAGTTAATGGAGCATGTTTCGTCATGGGGCCTGTCCAACGTCATCCCAAACGATGTCTTATAGTCTAACCGTCAATCCTGAGATGTTTAGACTTTCTTCTGAAACATCTCATTCCTTTATCTTTCTTTTTTCTTTTTTACGATGATTTTTATAAAGGAAAAATATGAAGTTTCTCAGAAAAGACATTCGCTAACTGTCATTCTTATGTTACTTCTCAATTTTCTTATGTTTCTTTTTCTGTAGAAACAAAAGTGACACTATCTAAAATACTTATAGCAGAAAAATATTAAAAATACATTTAATAGAAACTTTTATTGCAGTAAAAATTTTATGTGACGAAATCAAAACTTTTATGAAGTTTGATATATTTTTAATTAAAACATTGTTTTTATTATTTATTTATAGACTTTTCTTATCTTTAAATAATTTAAACAATAATTTTTTGAAAAAAAATTGTTTTATTATTACAAAATAAATATTATTAAATAATAATTTGGTATATTTATTTCAAATTTTGAAGAAAAATATTTAAAAATTTAACTATTATTTTAACACAATTTTGCATGAAATTAAATCAGGTAACATTCAATAAATCTAAAGAAACTAGAATTTATATTAATAACTTAAACTAGAATATCAATTAACGAACACGAAACTTATTTATAGTTATTTAGAGAATTGTATTCAATTAAGTGGAATTGGTAGTGTTTTCTTATTATTTCGTAATCTTTATTTTATGGCATATTTAAATCCATCTAGTTAACTTCTAAAGCTTCTTAAAATCCAGTCCATATAAAAGTTAATCTCTCTTTATAAGTCGCGATTATTTTTATACTTTTTGAAGGAAGAGGAAGAGGGAAAAATGAGCTTATTCGTCCTCATTGAGAAAGTTTATATTAAAAATTTAAATTCCCTTTCATCATCAATAATGAGAATAGAACATAAAGATAATGTAAACAATTCTACGGAGGCAAAGTTTAAGATTTTTGAAAAGAATAAATGGCAATTACTTTTAATAATTTCCCAAGACGAAGAAAATTTTCATTTTGAGTAATTGTTATATAATGACAGTTTGCTCACGAAATTCTGTCACTGTCTACAGAAGAAATGTAATTAGTCTGCGGTTGAAAAGGAGATTAATAGTAAATACCGAAAAAGGTTTTTCTTCCGATCTTTACTTCACTACAATGGTTTTAGGATTCTAGTTTTTTTTCTTCTTCCCTCCTCCCTTGCACTTTCCAATTAATGTCTTTCTGTGAATGAAAGATACTAAAGGAGATTATAAGCCCAAAGCGTTCCAAAAATTGCTTTTCGTTCTTAGATCTGAAACTTTCGTCGATCGAAGAAATAACTAGAAAAAATATATATAAATGCGTTATGTTCAGATTCATGTCGTAATAGTTGACAGTTTTATATCCTTCATCGTTTTCTCTAATCCTTCTTGACTTTTCTTTCGGTAATTAAGTATATGCCCAATGTCACTTGTCGTTTCTGCTTTATTTCTTATTATTTCCTTCTTTTTAAAAGAAAATAATTCTAAGAAAACCAAAAGAATGAAGAATTTTTAAAAGAATTAAAAGATAAAAATATATATTTATATAATTAGAAAGATTATTATATATTTTAAATAGCCACATATTTATACTGTATATACACACAACAAATACTTTTAATTTATATTGAAAATTAGAATTACAACACAGATATAAAATGAGTTGTAAATTAATAAAACTAAAAACGATATAATAGTTTTCACTGATAATTATTATAACAGCAGTTAAAATTCTCTGCCTTATTACTATTTTACTGTATTATAACGCTGATTAGATCGTTAACTTTATGACTTATAGTAGAATATAGAGTGATTGCTCACACGTAATTTATTATAGTAACTTTATTCTCTCTCTATTAAAAGATCTTCGTAAACAAATAGAACATTTCTAGTGTTGAATAACGTTAAAAGAGTCCATTAATCCTGCTAAATAAACCTTTACTCAACACATCTATCTAAAGACAATATATTTGTAGAGAGTACAATTATACCAAGCTATATTTGTCTTGTTGACTATGAATGTAAATGGCATCTGTAATTGGAAGTCTGACAGGAAAGTGTGAGTCATTAAAGGAAGTTACAGGTTTCCTACTGGTTGAGGTTTAATTATCTCTACTTATTCAAATGGTTCGAAGCTTTCTTGGTGGTTGGTCCCGAACAGATTATGACATCTCGAAATACAACAGTTTCTTAAAAGGTTGAATAATATCACTGTCTTCTCTTGTCTTCTAGTAATTATTCATAATCAAAATTTTTATATAGACTACAGTAGCGTGTCATCAATATATCGACTTTCAAACGTAACTGTCACCTCTTAATTTAAATGCGTCAAAATCAATAGTTTCTTCCTTTAATAATATTAAATTCCATTTTTAAACAGTTATATTAGTGATAAATTTCAATTATAAACTTAGCTAATTCTCTCTCCAAATAAAATTGAAAATGTTAATATCTGAAAATATTACATAGAAATTTCTTAATGCAATATAAAAATATTTATCATATGGTTTAATAATTGTAATTATGCAGATAATCTATCAAAATGAGTAATTTTTAACGCTAAAAATTGTAATATAGATAAATTTAATTTGAAAAATTTATACAATTATTTTAAGAGCAATCCACTATATAAATATTTCTATATAAAATAATTTGTATAAGTATTTTTTAAACTTTTATTATAAGACTTTTCTTATAAATAAAAATTATTATTAACTGTAGTTAAAAATTGTCTAACAAATTAAATTTCTTTTTTGTTTATATAACGAAAATTCTTTTATATTAGGGGAGATCGGGGCAACTTCGGCATGCGGGGCAAGTTTGTCAAGCGCTTTTTTTAAAAAACAAATTAAAAGGAGACTTTGGTTATAGGTTAGGCAGTTGAGTTTTATTGGTGGCTTGTTGAGTGTAGTGTTTTTATTGTTCTCCAACAAGCGTAGTTGAATT